GTACATCTTCACAGAATCTGTGTCTGCACTGTTGTGTGAGTAGAGTGAAAAAATACTTGTTTTCTTTATGAATAGAAGATTTTGTTCATTAATGTTATCCATAGGCAGTAGGTCCATTAACCCCCACTCCCCAATTTCCTGTTTCCTTAAACTTTAAAACAAGTCTAGGACAAGAACTTGGTTACAATATTTGCTTTCAAAGAAAGGGAGTGAGTAGCTGGGGGGAAGAAATACAAATTATGTCAAGTCAAAGTTTAAAGTCACTTTTCACATTATCTGTCCTTTCTCTTTGTCCTTCTCTATCTTTCCAGATCTTTATACATTTATATATAAGTTGTAAATAAATACATTTTTCAAAAAAGCATAAGTTTTTTATGCCATATATATTCTGGATTTTGCTCCTTGCACTAAACAGTATTTTAGGGAATATTAACAGTATCAATATCTAGAGACTTTTCTCATTTTTTCTCAAAAGAAGTTATATTAGAATTGCATTTAATGTTTTAATTTCTGATTGGATTGACTCATAAATGGGTCTATGTGGGTTTAAAAAGCGAATTAATTTAAAATAATATTTATGAAAGCCTGTGTGGTTCTTACCCTCTTTAAATTGTTACGTGATATTCTGTGATATGGATGTTATACCTTATTTAACCTTTCATGAAGCACTGTTTATATAATGCTAGTTTGAACATCTTCATCTAGTTTTTTTTATATTCTTCTGTGAGCATTTTTCTAGCATACTCTATAATTGGAATTATTAGAATGAGGGATTTATTATCAAAATTTATAGTCATGGCTAAATTTCCATCTAGAAGACTATGATTTTTTTTTTTTTTCTTTTACAATACTGTGGATGGAAACAAAAGGTTCTCTACTACTGAGCTCCCCTCCCCTTTTTATTTTTTTGAGACAAGAGCCTTGCTAATATAAGAGGCTGGCCTGAAACTTGATCCTCCTGCCTCAGTCTCCTGAGTAGCTGAGATAACAGGTATATACCACTGTATCCAGCTGTATTCTTATTAAAGATTCTTGTTTTCTGTACTTTCACCAATACTGCACATTAATTTTTAAAATTTCTTTGGCAGTTTGGGTAAAAACTAAAATTTTGTTGAAGATTTAATTTATATTTCCTTGGTTACTTCTGAGGATAATCTAAATTGCTTATTGTCTGAGTTATTTATTCTTATTTCTTTGCTGGTTTTTTGTTGAGTTTGTCTTTTAAATTTGTAGGGACTCTTCATTTATTCTAAATAGGATCCTTAGATATGAAGTGATATTTTCTCTTGTGCTGTCATTTATTTTTGTTTATGGTGTCTTTTTTTGTACAAATGTTTTAGCTTCCCCACTTTGGGTGCTGGAGATTGAACCCAGGCCCTAGTGCATACACAGTCTACCACTGAGCTACATCCCTAGCCCCAAAACTCATGTACATTTTCTTTTGTTTTTGTTTGTCTTTCTTAAAGGTTGGGATCTTACCCTATTGCCTAGGCTGACCTCAGATTCCTGGAATCAAGGGAGCCTTCTTCCTGAGCCTCTGAAGTAGCTGGAACACAGGCATGGGCCACCAAGCCCGGCTCTTGAATTATTTTTTAACAATGTATTATGAAGATTTTCCATTGCTGGCTTTTCCTTTTGGTCACTATTCTTTTGTTCTTCCCATATTCCACATTCTTTATCATTTTCTTTAAGGTCCACAATTAATTCTTAAATTTCTTCCTTGAAGTTATGAATAATACCATCCTTCCTGTTTTGACCTAGCTACCTGTACAGTGCTTTCCAATTTCTCTTTTTCTTTTTTCTTTTTTCTTAATTTAAATCTCACTTAGGGCCTAGCTAAGTTGCTAAGGCTGGCCTCGAATATGATCCTCCTTCCTCAGCCTCTCAGGTCCACATTTTTCAAAGAGCAGAAAACCTTTCAAATTATTCATACATTTTTTTCATTGTTTTCCCAATGTGCTTTGACTATTTAAAACTTAATTGGTTTCATGGCTTTTTAAAATGAGTGAAACATTCTTGGCAGTATTAAAGAATTTCCAACACAGCTTGATATCTTAATATCAAGATCACCATCCACAGCTGCATGTTTTGGTGACACACTAAGTCTTATGCAATGCTTTTGAAACATCAAGTACATTATACCTTATTTCTGAGGTTCGTGGATGGCAGAAAACAACTTCAACATAGTTATTGCAAACTGGAATATTCAGGTACCCTGGAATAAATAATCAGTAACACTTTCAAAGCAACCCTATTTGAAGTCCATGCTGACCTCTGGACATGAATAAAGAAGAAAAAATGCTGCCACCACTGGAACCTTGCGTGTGTGTGTGTGTGTGTGTGTGTGTGTGTGTGTGTCTCTGTCTCTCTCTCTCTTTGTCCATCTTTCTGTAAAACACAGGAGATTTTATATCTTGGCTTTCAGATCATAGGAATTTGAAGTAGGGATCAGCAAAATTTTTTGTAAAGGACCCTGAGTAAATATTTAGGCTTTATGAACCATATGCATCTCTGTCATATACATTTTTCCTTTTGAAACCTTATAAAAACGTAAAAAAACATCCTTCAGTCAAGCACCATATCAAAACAGGTCACAGCTTGTTACATTTTAGAAAAGCTTACTGGTCTCTGAGTGTCAAACAGCACCATCATAAAACAGTCTTGTTTTGCCCATGAAACCATTCAGTCTTGAGACTTTAAAGTCAGCATCTTGGCTGATGATGAAATTTAAGCTGTGGTGGGGCATTTTTCTTTCCTAGAAACAACTCATTCCTTCAACATCTGTTCTGAAGCTTCAGGAGAAACTGAGTGTACATGGGAACTCTTGTATTGTCTGTAACGTTTTTTAAATCTAAAATTATTGGAAAATAAAAGCCTAACAGTATACACATTTTGCCTTTAATGTGGACTTTTAAGCAGTCCTTTGGTGGCTTTGAATTTCTGTGTATCAAAGGCTGTTCCTCTTTGCTACAAAGTTTGAAATGAAGAGTGAAGCCAAAAGGCTTTTCTCACAACATCAGTAGTTACGTCGCTAAAAATTTGCATCTAAAATTTAATGCCATTTCAGTCTTCACTAAGGTTTTATCACATATTTAGATCACTACTCTAGCATTTGTTAGTATACTTGAAGCTACTGTGTAAATGTCTATCTTTTAACATTTGCTTTGAGAAATTTCAGAAAATAGATTGCATACAAAGATCACATTCCTTTGGCCCTTTGTACTTCAGAGTATATATTCAGAGTAAGAATATCTTTTTTTGGTCCGGGGATTGAACCCAAGGGTGCTTAACCACAGAGCCACATCCCCAGCCCTATATTTTATTTAGAGACAGGGTCTTGCTAAGTTGCTTTGGCCTCACAAAGTTGCTGAGGCTGTCCTTGAACTCAACAATCCTCTTGCCCTAGCCTCCTGAGCCTTTGGGATTACGGATGTGTACCACAGTCCTTAGCTAGAATATCTTATATATGGTTTGTAAATTCAGAAAATTTAAAGTTATATAATACTTTGTCATCTACAGTGTGTCTTTATATGAAGCATTTTTAAAATATTATTTTAGTCTATAATCGGGCTTTACATTTAGTTATTATCAATTTAGTTTTTTATAAGTTCCAGTAGTTCTTGATCTTTGCTTTCATGACAGTGATTTTTTTTTAAGAAAACAGATTAGTTATTTTCTAGTGCTTATCTCTTGATAGTGCAAAAGGAAGACAGAAGGAAGATTGGTGGTGGGAGGAGGGGCAGAGGGAATAACTGGGTAATGGGTATGGGGTCTTCTTATAGGGGATGAAAATATTTTGGAACTAGATGGAGGTGGCAAAATGTTAATAAAGGCCTCTGAATTGTTCACTTTAAGATAGTTACTGTCACACACACCTGTTGTTCCAGCAACTTGGGAGGCTGAAACAGGAGGATTGCAAGTTTCAGACCAGCCGGGCAGTTTAGCGAGGCCCTAAGGAACTTACGGAAACCCAGTCTCAAAATAAAAAATAAAAAGGACTGAGGATGTGGCTCAGTGGTTAGGTACCTCTTGGTTCAGTTTCCAATACCAAAAAAAGCAAACAAGAATAAATAAATAAAATGAAATTGTTACTTTTATGTGAGTTTCCTCTCAGAAATTAATTTTTTAAGTCCTTTTGTAAATGATTTTACTGCCGCCATATATGGATTTCTCATCAACTAGTAATTCCATTTAAAAATTTGCTGCCAAAAATTAAAAATAAAAAAATCACTTTGTGATAATTGCAATGATTGTAAAGTTTAAAAAAATAAATGGATATTGTAAATTCTAGTTCTTTGTAGGAGAATTGATTAAGCAGAAGAATCTATTATCTCCACTAAATATTTAGGGTTTTCCATATGTTTATGATAGGTCTAAAAGGACAACCGTTGCTTAATATGTTTTCTAGCCAATTTACATGGTTTTTATATTAAACAACAGGTTTTTTAAGGCAAACTAGTACATTAAATTTAAGCATTGAATGGAGAACATTAGAATTCTAGCTCTAGGTAAAGAATTTGTGTAGCTGGCTTCTCATCCATCAATGTAAATGTTCCGCTTTCCTAGACTTACCTTTCCACCTTCAAATTGACTTACAGGCTCATTAAATGGAACCCACTTTGCTGTTTATTTAGATGTATCCTTGTTTATTAACCTCTCAATTTGTTTCTCAGAATAGGAGATACATACCTTGTCACATTTGTGTGGATTAGAAAGAAGTTAAATGTTCAGTATGGGGTCTGACATATGGAAGGTTGTATATAAAATGTAACATTGATTATTATCCAAGAATTAAGAGTGCTATCGGGAAAGTTAAGTCTTCACCTTCAGCATATGGCTGCCCTTTTCCAACTGATAGAACTTGAGGAAAAGTAGATGCGTTTTGAAAGAGTATTTTCACATGTGGAAAGATTCTAAATCTACTTTTGAGAGTTGATATGTTATGTACATGGAATTCTACAGTATTTTTCTCATCAGTTTATTTGCTTCATTTTTGACAGGTGAAAGAAAAAGATGTTTTCCCGGTTAAGAGCAGTTGCCACTCCTTGTTCGGTGGCATGTCGTCATTTGCACAGGAAAGAGAAAGGCAAGCCACTCATGTTGAATCCAAGAACAAACAAGGTTAGTAACATTCATGCCAATGTAAATTTTCTCTCTTCCTGATAAAGGTGTGATATTTTATGAAATATCATAAATGATATGATGTATGAATGATGTTAAGAAAATTTTGTATTCATTAGCATTATACTAAGACTTTTCAGAGGCATTTACTTTCTCTGTATGAACTTTTCATTCATTCTATAAGAACTTTCATTCTTTACTGCAAGAGTTTTTTCTTCACAACTTTTACCACCAGAGAAGACTTGATTTTTCACTTACTAGCTAAAAAGAAAAGATGGAAAAATATCTCAGAACAGCACTCTATCAGGACTTTTTAGCCAAATATGGGATCGATTGACCAGCTCAAAGCTAGACCAATCATTAGGCCTTTGGAGGGTGAGGTCAAAATTATGAAATGAACCTTTGCTTAAAATCTAACCCACCCCATCTCCATAAGGCTTTTTAGACACAAATCTTTGCACACAAATAATTAGTTAGGGGGTAATACTTCAAAGGAAAGCATTACCTGACACTTTTATTATTGTTATTAGAATAGATGTGTTAGGCAGTATTGAGTTCCAGTCATGACTTTCTTTGGCTGAGCTGGGTTTAGTGGGCAAAGCCCTTTATTTTTTAGTGGCAATATTAAATAGTAAACATGATAGTTAAGAGGATCTGACTGCATTTTCACAGTCTGGACTTCAGTTCTAGCACTTCTCCTTACTTACTGTGACACTCTGGGCACAGCTCTAAGAAGCTCATCTGAAGTCATATGAAAAATAGCAAAAATAATAGTTCCTACTTCATGATACTTTCTGCATATTGAATGAAGTAAAATTTTTGACATATTTAGCACAATATTTGGTACATGGTTAAGAAATACATAAATAATCAGGGTGTGATGGCACCTGACTGTAACCCCAGCAACTGGGAAGACTGGGGCAGGAAAATTACAAGTTCAAGGTCATCCTCAGCAACTAAATGAGGTCCTGGGATAAAAGAAAAAAAGGTTCTTTTGGCTCATAGTTTTTGAGGTTTCAGTGAGGCCCTAAGCAGCTTAGCGAGATCCTGTCTCAAAGGAAAAATAAAAAGGGTTAGGGGTGTAGCTTAGTGGTGAAACACCCCCTGGGTTCAATCCCTAGTACCCCCCCCCAAAAAAAAAGCATAAATAATGGATGGCTGTGGAGTTCAGTAGTAGCATATACTTAGCACACCCAGCAGCAAAAATAAATAAAATATTAACTCTAGTTTAAAATTCATGTCTATTAAATAGTAGGTGAATATAATTCTGGAAAGAATTTCTTACAGGAAGCTTATAAGAAGAAGCTTCTTCTTTGCTCCTAGCATGTTTACCTGTATGTTCAAGAATCTGGATAAGGAATTTTTCAATAATGATGTATGTGGATGTGATAACTTTCCATTACTATAGTAATACTGAGATAATCACCCACAGCACAGCAGATCTGCTATGGGAAAGGAAGAGACCACTATCCCCACAATCTTTTTTTTTTTTTTTTTTGTATTAGGGATTGGACCCAGGGGCACTTTGCCACTGAACTACATCCTTCACTCTTTTAATTTTTGCAACAGGGTCTCACTAAGTTGCTTAGGGCCTTGCTAAGTTGCTGATACTGGCCTCCAACTTGTAATCCTCCTGCCTCAGCCTCCCAAGTTCTTGGAACTACAGGCATGCACTGACACACCAGCCCCACAATCTTTCTTGAAGGCGTGTTCCCAGTTACCTGGAGATCTCCCACTAGGCCCCACCTCTTAAACGTACTAATACTTCCCATAGTTCCACTCTGGGACATGTGAAACTTTGGGGAACATTTAGGATCCAAAGTGTAGTATTCTACTCCAACCCCAAAGACTCATGTTCATCCCACAGTATAGGATGTGTTCAGTTCATCTCCAAGACTCCCAAAAGTCTTAACTATTTTAGTATTACTCAAAAGTCCAAGTCCAAAGTCTCCTCTGAGATTCAGGGTACATGCAGCTGTGAGCCCTTGTTAAAATAAAAAAAAAGAAATTTCACATGCTTCTAAGATACAGTGGCAAAGGGTAAACATCCCTATTCTGGAAAGGAGGAATTGGACCACAGCAAGATCAAAACTTAGGAAAGCAAACATTAAATCCTACATCTGCTTGTCTGGCATCCAGTGTACATGTGGCATCATGTGGGCTACCAAGTGCTTGATCAGCTTTACCCCTATGACTTTCATGGTTGCACCCCACATGGCCACACTCTTGGGCTGGCTTTGCATACTATCTGCAGAATCCCTCAGCTGACATTTCATGTTCCTGATATTCCTTTCCTTGAATCTCCATTGGAGTTTCACTCCCCCTGCTCCATGAATAGCCCTGCTTGTGGGGACTTGGAATTTGCTACACAATGCCTGGCCTCCCAACCTTTCCTCTGAAACCTCAGTAGAATTCTCCATGACCCCATAATTTTTGAATTTTTAATGCCTACAAAATCAGCATCAAGGTTTTGGATATGCTAAGTACCTGCTCTACTGCTGAGCTACATTCCCATGAACTATGGTGGCAGTTCTGAACTAATTATTTTATGTTCTTGTTGTGTATGCCTACTGAATTCTCTGGTTCGTTTTGTCAACTAATGATTAACCAGAGACTTAAAGGTCTGGAGCCAGAACCAGTAAGTCTTCTACTCTTTGCCAAGGGGTCTGTGTGCATGTTGGGGCATGACTAACACTGAGGCAGTCAGTTTACAACTAAGCATCTGCCTACCCTCACTTCCTGCTTGCACAGGGCCTGAAGGTTAGTCATAGCTAAGAGCTTAAGGCCATCTCAGGTCGTTCCTGGACATATTCACAGCTCATACACATAGCCTTCTAGATTTCCCCCAAATATATAACCATCTCATTCCTTATTCTTTTCTTTTTCTCCCCCACCCCAGTACCCCCTGCCCCCTGGTACTGGGGATTGAACCTAGATGTACCCTATCACTGAACCACATCCTCAGTCCTTTTTTATTTTTTGAGAGAGGGTCTCACTAAATTGCCAAGGCTGGTCTCAAACTTAACGATTCTCCTACCTTAGCCTCCCAAGTAGCTGAGGTTATAGGCATGTGCCACCACACTCAGATCTTCATCTTTTCTTGTTCTGCCTTTTGGTTAGTCTGTGGTTTATAACCAGTGGTTATCCAGTATTTCAGACAGTTGCCCAGCTAAATAATTGCCTCTGAGTGTTTTCAACAAACCTCTGGAGGGAAGACTGTTAGTACTGGATAGGCTCCGAAAATAATGACAGCCTTGCAGGTGGGTTCATGGAGGGAACAGATCATATAATGATATTTTCCCTGAGATTAGGGCTTTAGAACAATCTCTAGCCCCTTCTTCCCCCTCTAGTAGCTTCCTGGCTGCCAAGTTGCACAGTGATTCTAGCTTTTGGTTTTCAAGGCCACTATAGGTAGAGAGTGGAGATGAGAATAGGGCTACTAAGCTTGCTGCTTACTGGCGTCCATCTATTTTTTTCTTGAATTAGTGCTTCCTGATAGTTGCAAATCTGATTTATTTCTGGAAGCCCAAAAAAGTTGATTCTGATCATTTGGCCAGTATTCTTGTTGCTTCTTCTCCTCCCATATTTTTTATTGGTGCATTATAATTGTGGGATTCATTGTTACGTACTTTTACATGCACACGATAATATAATTTAGTCAATATCATTCCCCAGTATTTCTCTTCCCTCTCTTCCCTCCCTCTGGTCCTATTCCTCTACTGATCTCCCTTTGAACTTGAAATTCCCCCTCCCCCATTTTTATTTTCATTTTTCCTTGCTACCTTTCGCATATGAGAGAAAACATATGACCCTTGACTTTCTGAGTTTGGTTTATTTTGCATACCATAATGTTCCCAAGTTCCATCCATTTTCCTTCAGATGAACTAATTTCATTCTTCTTTATGGCTATATGCTATATGCCACATGCCACATTTTCTTTAGCCATTAATCCATTAATGGACACCTAGTTTGCTTTCATGGTTTAACTGTTGTGAATTGTTCTGCTATGAATACGGGTACACATGTATTGATACAGTATGCTGACTTTAATTCTATTTTTTATTAGAGTTTTATGGTGATATATAAAACTTGTGCTTTTATGGAAGAAAAAATTTTCAGAAGTCTGTACTCCAGCATTTTTGTTGATTATCATTTTGATATATCCCACAACTGAAAAACAAATTTAATATTTTCTTCTGACTTAGATTTTTTTTTAACTCTATTTTGTTAATCTCACTTTTAATGTGTTACATGCTATCTTATATATAATACGTAGTTTTAGGTAGTTTTCTAAACATAAGTAAATTAACAGTGTGCTTTGATTGGCAATTTGCTTTTATTTTTAACTGTGTCTTTTAGATCTTTCTACTATTGTATATACTTAGAGACTTAAATATTTAACTATTTCTGTGGTATTTTATGGTATGCCTGTACCATAGGCTCTTATTGCATAATTGATGAATATTTCTCTGGGATGACTATTTGGAAGTTATGTTGCTTGATTAAAGAATGTGAGCATTAAAAAAACTTAGAGAATCAAGTTCCAGGCCAGTCTGGACAATTTAGTGAGACCCTGTTAGAAAATAAAAAAGGATCAGGGATTAAGATCAGTGGTAGAGTTCTTGCTTAGCATGGCTGAGACCTTGGGTTCCATCCCTATACCAATGAAGAAAAAAATTTTTTTTAGTACTTTAAAATTGCATTCTGAAAGCCTAACCTAGTTTACATTTCCAGTGGAAGTTTTGTGGGAATAACTCCTCCCACATTCTCACCAATACTGGTTGTTGCCAATCTAATAGAATTTTGAAAGTCTGGGCAAATATATTTTGTTGATTTTTAAAATTTGTATTAAAGGACAATGACATTGCTACCCCTGTAAGTAAATTTTAATCATTTTATTTCTTTTCTTTAGGGAATGGCATTTACATTACAGGAACGACAAATGCTTGGTCTTCAAGGACTTTTACCTCCTAAAATAGAGACACAAGATATTCAAGCCTTGCGATTCCATAAAAACTTGAAAAAAATGAATAGTCCTTTGGAAAAGTAAGCATTGATTATATATCTAATTTTTTATTGATATCCTGATAAGATAAATTATGGCCTGAGAAATAACACAGTTTCATGGTGAAGTTTGTGAGGGGTTTTTTGTTAACTATTACTTTTATAGTGATTGTTTTCTTTAGTGAGTACTTCACTCATGTTGACTATTGTCAGCTTGACAGAAATCAAAATCAGTTTTTATACTGAAGATCAGTACATTTTACTTGTGAATACAACTTTAGAAGCAAAAGATACCATTTGATTCATACCCTTTTAACTTAACAAATTTAGTTCATCACCCATGTCGTGTGACACTCTACTAACCACTGGGGATATAAAGTGGATGATAGTTCTGGAGGCTAAATCCAAGGATGAGGGGCTGCATCTGGCAAGGGCCTTCTTGCTAATGGGGATTCTGCAGTCTTGAGGCTGTTCAGGGCATCATGTAGTGAAGGGAGCTCACAAGATGGCCAAACACCCACTCTCCTGATAATTCCTTCAATGACCCATTAGTCTGTGAAGGATTAATCATAGAGTCTCTTTGTCACTTGCCTGATAGGTCATGTGCTCTTTAACATTCCTGCTGATTCTTTCATAGAGTTCTATCCTTCATAGAGTTCTATCTTAATAGCTGTCATGCCCAGTTTCTTTCCAGAGAACCCCATTTCCAAAAACTATTAACATATGACTTTGTGGATTGTGTTTCTAACATAAAATCTGGGAGACATACTCAAAGCACACAGTGACCAATCCAGTAACACATAACCCTGCCTTCTTTCTAGGAGCTTCTCAACAGATAGTTATAGTATGACTATCACTGTACTCTATATTGCAGTGTGAAGTACAGTGAGAAAAAGCTGCATGAAGTATGTATTCTGGAAGCATGAAGATGGCACCTCTTCCAGTTTGAAGGAAGTGGTGCTTGAGTTCAAGTTTAAGTAGTATATTGATGGTAGCTATCAAAATGAGAAAGAAGAACAAGGCATTCTGGGGAGAGGAATCAGTCTGAATGCAGAGCTAACTATATCTGTTGGAGTTTTTAAGTATAGGATATTATAGGTGACTGATGAGAGTTGTTTCCTTGATGTGACGGGTCCAAAGGAAGAATGGAATAGACTGAAGAATGAATGGGAGGGGAGAAAATGTAAACTCCTTTGTTAAGAAGTCCAAATAAGAGAGGAAGAAAGACATTGAACCATAAGTAAAGTGGTACTTTGGTTTAAGTATTCTGGACAGCAAGAAAGTTGAACGTGTTTATAGTTGTGAGGAAAGAGTTCAGGAGAAAGGATAATTGCTAGAGCACGTAGAGCAAGGTCCTAGTGAAAGGGAAAAGGTGCAGGGGCAACTGGAGAGGTAGGTATGTAAGGTTCAATATGCAGGCAGTGGAGCAGAGGTCATGAGATCTCATCATGCCTAACGTCTTTGATTTCTTTATAACAGAATGTGGAATCACAGCTATGATTAAAAGGGCCAATGTTGAATAGAGTTGTCGAGGGAAGTGATAAATACTAGGAAGAGTGATTTGATTATGAGGTAAGACCAAACATGGTTGGATAGGTTAAAAGGATGAAAGTAGACCCTCATAGTCTTAATCTTGCTTGTCCAGGTGCCATTCTGCATAGTCAATATTATTTTTCCACAGAAAGGGAGAAATGTAACATTAATTTGGGTTTGGAGTTTGCTGGGAAGGCAATGAAACATTCATCTAGTCTGGGAGATGGAGCATACCTGAATCCCAGCTGCTCACAAGGCTGGGACAGGAGGATCACAAGTTCAGAGCCAGCCTCAGCAACTTAGTGAGGCCCCGAATGAGACCCAGTCTCAAAATATAAAATAAAAAGGGCTAGGGATGTGGCTTAGTGGTTGAGCCGCCCTGGGTTCAGTCCCTGGAAAGAGAGAGAGAGAGAGACAGACAGACAGTCAGACAGACATTCATAAGAGAAAAGAAAGAAGAAACATTGATCTGCTGTTTTTTCTAGGCTGTTCAGTGCCAGGCATTGTTCTAAGCTCCTATACTATAAAAAAAATGAAAAAAAAAAACAAAAACCACCCTTCCTTCAGGGTGTTCACTGTATGGTGGAAAAGGCAGGCATTATGGAAGAATGGTGCAGTGATATGTAGAAGTTTTTAAATGGTAAGATTGGTGAAAGATTTGCACAGAATGAGAGCATTGATCCTGGGATCTAGAAGAGGGAATGAAGAGGAACCCAAAGGGTGCGATAGAAGGGGAGAGAATGGAGCAATTAAGAAGCTTGAGATTCCCTCAAAGAATAATGAAGCAAGTCATTGTATGGTCAAATGGTGTGTAGAATTGTGATCTAAGAGTAGAATAAGGGCATTTGCCAGTTCTGAGCTTTGACAGTTTAGGTGAAGTCAGCAAGATCACTGTGAGGTATACAGAATGGCTCAAGTGAAGTGAAGGCAAAAGTAACAGCAATGTAGGGAGCTTCAGGAAATGCACAGCCTCTCTCTGTCACATGCCTGATAGGTCATATGTCAGCTCTTCTTTCCTTAACATTCCTGCTGTCTCTTCACAAAATTGTTTTTTCCATCTTTTTTATTTTTTACCTTTATTTTATTTATTTTTATGTGGTGTTGAGGATCGAACCCACTGTCTCACATGTCTAGGCAAGTGCTCTACAAGCTGAGTTACAGCCCCAGCCCTTGTTTTTTCCATCTTCACAGCCCAGTTGTTCAGTTATTTCCCTATAGTGAGGAGAAATCTGCATCCCTGTAATTTCTACCTTTTGATGTCATTTCTTTCCCATAGCTGTTCAGAAAATATAATTCATTATTTAAATGCTTCTCTTCTCTTACGTTTTCAACAAGTATTTGTATACCAGTTGGATGCCATATACTTTGCTAGCTCCTGCAAATAGGCAAATATAGCTTCAGCTTATAATGCAGTTACATCCCAATAAACCCATCATAAATTGCAAAAAAAAAAAAAAGGTGAAAATGCATTTAATAACCCACCTACCACCATCATAGCTTAACAACACATTATGCTTGTACAGCATCACTCATTGACCTTCTTGATTACATGGGTGGTTGGGAGCTATGACTGGCTCATCTGTCCAGGATCATGAGAATATTTTACTACATTGTCACAGGAATATATTGAAATTTAAAGTTTGAAGTACAGTTATATCTCAGTATCTGTAGGGGTTTGGTTCTAGAACACCTGTCCCCTCCTATGGACACAAAATCAGTGTGGTCGAGCCTCTTATATAAAATGGCATAATATTTGCATATAACCTGTGTACATTATCCGATTTACAGATAGTCCTCACTTTTGATGGTTCAGTGTAGGATTTTTTTTTACTTTAAAATGGTGCAAAAGTGATGGAAAGTTGAATGCAGAAGAGGTAGTAGGGTATGGTGGGACTTGAAAACAGGGAACTCTAACATGTATCTATTTGTGGTGGGAAAGGGGAGTTGACTGAAAAGGGCCCCCAAGATTGAGCCTCTGAGCTACATTAAGAGACATGAGTATAGGACGATGTCAGGTATGACAGGCAGAGAGTCCTTAGGTTCAACACCTCCAAGGTAAGAGCTGTGCACTTGAGGAAATGAAGTAGATAAGTATGGAAATGAAGTTGGAAAGTAGGCAGAGGTCTTATTAACTGTTTAAGGAGCTTGAGCCTTATTTTCCTGGCATCTGAAAGCCACTTAAGGAGAATAAAATGACCATACTTAATATTTTTAAGATAAGAATGAATTGGAACAGGGAAGGAAAATTATATGTATAAAGTTGAGTCGGAAGGCCAAGTGAGAAATGGTGGTGGTTTGGACCAGCTGCAGGTGGAAGGAGCAAATGGATATATTGAAATGTTTTACCGGTAGACTCTGTAGGACTTGATGATTTACTCATTTGGGTTAAGGGAGGACAGGAGAGGAGAGGGGGGAAAAAAATCAAGAACTAAATGGATTTCCCATTAGGTGATAGCAGAGGAGAAACAAGTTTGGAGGAAGATGTGAGTCTGTTAGACCAGATGATTTCTGATTTCAGTATTTCCCTATTCTTTAAACTTAATTCTTTGTTGGAAGTTATTTATGTATTTAGTCCCATGAATAGACCATTGCCTTATTTGTGCTTCTCTTTGAATTAATGCTTAAACCCTACTGGATTATAAAGTCCTTGGCAGGAGTTACAACATATGTCCCTGGAATTCAGAATAGTGCCTGGCACAGTTAGTGTTTAGTAAACATTTGAATGAATGTCACTTCATTTTGCTTCCTTATTTACATGTCAATCTCCTGAAGATTAGCTCCTTAAAGGTAGAGGCTTCTAGTGATCTTTGCATTTTTCAGTGTTCTGTACAGAGCCTGACATAGTAAGGACTTAGTAAATTTGGGTGGTTGTTGTTATTTTCTTCATTATCATCTACCACTTAAGTACATTTGTTTCTGCTAGTTTTTTGTCTTAGGTGTTGAATAGTAATAATTTAAGATTTGTGTGTGTGTGTGTGTGTGTGTGTGTGTGTGGTATTTTAAGAGGGTATAGAAGTGGGGAGGGCCCAATTTTAGACATTTAAGTTTGATTTCAAAAGCTAAAACTCAACTGTGACATAGTCAGACATTGCTTAACTATGCTTAATTTCAGGTACATCTATATAATGGGAATACAAGAAAGAAATGAGAAACTGTTCTATAGAATACTACAAGATGATATTGAAAGTCTAATGCCAATTGTATATACACCAACAGTTGGTCTTGCCTGTTCCCAGTATGGACACATCTTTAGAAGACCCAAGTAAGGCTTATTTTTAAAAATATATGTAGATGATTGTTGTATAAGGGGGGAAAAATCATTCCATAACACCAATTAGATTTGTTAGTTTTATCCCCACCATGTTTCCCACCCCAGAAAAGCTCGATTTGGATTAAAAGATGTCAGTTAAAAAAATCAACATGTTCTATCTTTTATTTCTTTAAAAATAGTGTAATTCATTTTTAACCTTCAAATGTAATTGTTGGAGCAACTATGTTCTTTTTTAAACCTTTATCCTTCCTGCAAAAATGGAATTAATCCTAGTGGTAGATTCTCCATAATTATAAGTAGCTTTTACCAATCTTCCCAAGTTAAGGGATTGATTCTATCTCATTTTTAGTTTTTATTGTTTGTTCTCTCTTTTTTTGTTTTTAGTGAACTTTTATTTCAAATTGTTCTTATACTTCCAGACATTTTAAGTGGAAGGAGTACTGGATTGGGCCCTTGACTCAAATCCTTGAATGAACCAAGCAATCTTTTTGGATGTGTTTTCTCATATGTTACATAGGGGTAAAAATATCTGTTAAGAAGCTGTTGAGAAGAAACTGATATGATTGTTCTTTATCAACTTACAAGCATTACACATGTGCTATTTTTAATTAATTTATATTTGTCTTGTTCCTCCTCTACCTATTATTTTCCTCAGTCCTTGTATTTTTTCCCATATCCATCTAACATATTGGTATAAATGTTGAAATTGAGAAAAGATAGAATAGCATTTATCTTCAATCTCCCTTCATCTGATCTGATGGCTCTCAAATTTTAATTTGCATAAGAAGCACCTGTTGGACTTACTAAAAATAATTGAATCCTGCCAACTTACCTCGTTCCTTCTCATCCCCAAGATTCTGATAGAAAAAAAATGCTATGGCAGTCTATAGTTTAGTGAACACCCTCTGTGATTGTGTTGCAGGTATTTCCTGTAGGATACTGAGGAACAACACTACCATTGATTAATGTATCGAAAACATTCTATGACATAATCCAGCTAAACATCATATTTATGGTTTCTTATAAGATTTGTGGTTCTCAAGCCAGACTGAAAAAATAGAAAACTTAAAAACAAGGCTGCCTGGGCCCCACTGCCAGAGATTCTGATTCATTTAGTCTAGGCTTGGACCCAAGTATGGGTGTCTCATAAAAGCCCCAATTTTCATTCTCACGTGCACATGGAGATGAGAACTGACATGAGACATAAGAGCATGGTTTGGGGTGAGAGTCGATACTGTATATCATTAATGTATAATATACTACATCCGCAAAGGTTTGTTTTGTTTGATACTTAAAAAGAGATCAGTTAATCTTGATTGGTTGATTAATCTAAACTCAAAGAGCATCTCTGGAGATGGGACTTGGCCTTTTTAAAAGCTCATTATGTGATTACATAGCCATGATTAAGAAACTGCTGAACTACATTGATTTGATATACAATAGTAATGCCCAAGTTCAAATACCAGTGAAAAAGTTGAAGGTTAAGAATAAGTTCAGAAGCACTGGGGACAATCTATGCCTCAGCCTTTTTTCTGAAACATGTATTTTTTTTTCTGTCTTTCTTTTTTGAAAACTTTATCTCAATTAGATAACAGCATACTGTGTTTAACTTTTCATTAGTCCCCCCATTGTTTATACATATTTTAGAACTCCATGTTGTATATGATAGTTTTTGTTAATTTAAAAAATTATACATTTAAATAAAAATAAAAATTTAAATGAAAATAACCTCACTTTTTCCCAGTGCTTCAAGTATGTCATTTTTTATGTGAATTTACTATAATTTTATTCCTTCCTGCTCTTTCAAATTTTCAATTGCACTGAGTTTTAACAGTTCACTTGAACTTATTAATAAGCTTCTTTGTATTGGTGACTTGTTATGTTTTTTACTGGAGAAGTATTGAGTATATTTGAACATACCATGTGGATACATTTTTTCTTGAGTAAAATGATTATATCATATAACAGTAATCTTTGTTGCAGTTATGTGAACAGTATAATTATAATTTGAAATAATCAAAAATAAACCTATATGACTAAGCTAAATCTGATTGGAAATTATACTATGTCTTTGTGTTTTATTAAAATATCTAAGTATTCGACTTATGGACAAAACTTAGAAACTAAAAACTGTCATGAAATGCAAAGGTGTTTTTGTTCTATTGCAGGGGATTATTTATTTCAATCTCAGACAGAGGTCATGTTAGATCAATTGTGGATAACTGGCCAGAAAATCATGTTAAGGTACTAATAGCACAACCCTCCTTTTCGGAATGTTTTTTTTTTCTCCCTTGTCTCTAAATTGCCATGAATGGTTTTTCATTGTTGCTCTGATTATTTTGCATTTGTATACATACAGATTTTAGTGCTTTGCATCTGAGGAAATGATAATAATAATAATAATAATAATAATAGTTCTAAAATGGGTTACTGGTAAAGAGCTTGAAAAAAAAAATTGGAGCTAATGCAAGGTGAGCCCTCTCCTGTTACTAATGTTATTCTAGGTTGAAAAAATCATTCAAATACCATAAAAACTTACTCTGGAGAGTGTTGGAGAAGATTTGTTATGCCTATCTTTTTTAAAAATTTTTAATCTGAGTTTTAGATCCTTAGAAAATAGAAAGCTCCTAAAAGTTTTAAATTCAGCAAATATAAATCTTTATTAACTGCCGGGGATGTGGCTCAAGCGGTAGCGTACTCGCCTGGCATGTGGGCATGTGTGCAGCCCAGGTTCAATCCTCAGCACCACATACAAACAAAGATGCTGTGTCCGCCAATGATTAAAAAAAATAATAATAAGTGTTTAAATTCTCTCTCTCTCTTTAAAAAAAAAAAAATCTTATCAATGTGGCTATCTTTCATGAAATGAAATGCAATAACATCAAGATCTTTTGGTACACTTTTGTTACAAGCAGTAATCTTACCTTTATTGCATATATCTTCCCTACCAAAATAAGCATTGATGATTGATCATATTAGTTCAGTTAATATAGAATAAATTTGATGTGGTAATTAAACTCACAGTATTGTCTTAAAACCTTATTGTGGGTATGTATATTTTTTTTTAATTAGATCTTTTCCTCCTTTACTATTGCTGAGGTTTTTCTTATTGAACCAAGGTTATTGTATTGGAGTAGCATGCTGCTTATTTCTAAACTCTTGTTTTTTCTTAATGGTAATGTCTTCATCAGAATTTTTTTCACTTCTCCCACATTTAATCTTTCTGAAAATGTTTGAATTGGTTCTTCAGATGGAAGCATTCAGTAGAAATCTTATATTAAATATGCTTCATTGGAGTACATTGGAAGTTAGTCAAAAAGCAATTTTATTTTTAAAAGTGAAAGTGAAAATATCTGAGGAGAATCTTGTTTTAAATGTGTTTCTTTAATGCCCTATTTTTTGGGCAACTTTTAATTTGCTTTTTTTCCCCTTTGTTTTATAATCAAGGCTGTTGTGGTGACTGATGGAGAGAGAATTCTTGGTCTTGGAGATTTGGGCGTCTATGGAATGGGAATTCCAGTAGGAAAACTTTGCTTGTACACAGCTTGTGCAGGAATACGGCCTGATCGATGTCTGCCTGTGTGTATTGATGTGGGAACTGATAATCAAGTGAGTAATAGTTTTCTTCCTTTGCTGTTTCTCTTGTGTTTGTTTTTTAATTGTTCATCTTTTGAAGATGATTTAAGAAAGGAAAATCTTATGCTTAGATGTTAGTCTTTTTCTTAAGCCCCACTTTTAATATGTGTACAATAGTAAATTAAGTCTACTAAAAGTTTCTTGAAAGATTACAGTTTTGTTTTATAGCTTTAGACCAGTAATGCAATAAAAGATCTTATTCTTACATTTGGTTTCTTTTATAGGCACTCTTAAAGGATCCATTTTACATGGGCTTGTATCAAAAAAGAGATCGTTCACAGCTTTATGATGATCTGATTGATGAGTTTATGAAAGCAATTACTGACAGGTACTTTTTAAAAAGTTTAAGTATGTGAAAGATAAAAGCACCTTTAATTTGGGGTCTGGGAATGCTGTAGTTCTGTTTTATTTTTCTTTATCTCTGATGAAGATAAGCAGGAAGAAATTAAATTTGGGGAAATTTTGTTCTTTCCTATTTGATAAGATGGGCTAATCTAAGATGGCACCCCTGCCCTACCTGATATCTGGGAGGAAGTCTGTACTTTCTGTTTTATCAAACCCTCACTGCTCAATCCTCCTTTCAGCCTTTGACAGTCCTCCACTGAAGCTCTCCTGCAGCTTTCATGTTTTAAATTTCTCAGACCATTTGGTCTTCTTCCCTTTCTGTCTTGCACTTTGTGACCTGGTTTTCCCACTTCTGTAGTCTTGAGACTTTCTCTTTGCTACTAAAATACTCCTAACTTAGTCTTTCTTCTGCGTTTCTTTTCTGTCATTTTCACTAGTTCTTCTTGCTCTCTGTGTATTTTAAATATGATTGACTAGTAGTCTTCTTTGAGCCTTGTACACTGTGACCCATGGAAACCCATCCTAGTAGTCTTGTGTCTAATAGTTAGAACCCCCCATTATGATATTCTATTGTTGCTTCAAATTCATGTCTAACTGAACTCTCTTTTTCTAAACAGCTTTTTATCTTCCCACCCACTGTCAATGGCAATATTGTTCACCCTATTGACAAACCTTCATTCTTAGTGTCGTCTTTAATAATTCTTCTCTCCATCAACCACCCATGCATATATTCAGATATTCCTCAACATCCAGTTGGCACTCTCACTTAATCTCTCATAAATACATCTCTTCCATTATCACAACCTTCCATTACCACATCTCTTCTGAATTCTTCTAAACTTCCCTGTAATTTCTTTCTGGTTCATCTTCACGGTAAGACCAAATTAATCTGTGTAAACATGTACTTCATTCTTTTACTTAATCTGAATAATTTTTTATTGCCACAAGATAAAACCCAAATTCTTTACCCTTAGAATTTAGTTGTACCTTTTAAATTACTGACACCTGGAAGAACTCAAAAATTACTTCCTTTTCAGAGACAAGTTGACAAATCCATAGCTGAACTTTTAAATCTTCCCAGATACTGTCTTCCCCAATTATTGCTCTCACTTCCCTGCCTTGGGCCACCACACAGTGTCTTCTTAGTCATCAGTGTTGTCTTGGCATTGTAACAATTTCTTCCTCACTTTCCACCTGGTCCTCATCACCAGTATGTTTGCTCTAAATGTCTTTGCATTGTATAATTGTCCCTTCTGTGTCTTTGCCTTCTGCATCAAAATCTCATAGCAGCCTCCTAGCTGCTTCTCTTGTAGTTTTCATCTCTCCAGACTCCAGTATGTGTTATGCATCAATGGCAGGTTTATCTCTGTGGACAGGAGATTTATGTGAATTCTTCCTTTGTCTGCAGCCTCAGTGATTCCCAATGGGACATAGAAGCAAGTCTCTCTTTTTTTTTGGTATGCGGGGGGAGGGTACCAGGGATTGAACTCAAAGGCACTCAACTACATCCCAGACCTATTTTGTATTTTTATTTAGAGACAGGGTCTCACTGAGTTGTTTAGCACCTCACTGTTGCTGAGGCTGGCTTTGAATTGAAATCCTCCTGCCTCAGCCTCTGAGCCTCTGGGGTCACGAAGTCTCTGGAGTTATTGGCACCTCTGTGGTTACAGGTGTGCACTACCACGCCCAGCTGCAAGTCCTTTTTCACTAATTCATCACTTAAGAGTCTCCTACCAGGTGGGTGTGGTGACACACACCTGTAATCCCAGCTACTTGGAGGCTGAGGCAAGAGAATAGCAGCAAAGTTCAAAGCCAGCCTTAGCAACTTAGCCCTCAGTGTCCCCAAGTTCAATCCCTGGTACTTAAAAAAAAAAAAAAAGCCTCCCACCTTTGCCCCCCAGCTTACCTTTACCAGCTTCTCCCTATTCTTTAATGTAAACCCTAATTTATTTATTTATTTGGTACTGGGGATTGAACCCAGGGACACTAAATCACTGAGCCACATCCCTATCCCTTTTGGTTTTTATTTTGAAATAGTGTCTTGCTAAGTTGCTGAGGGCCTCATTGAGTTGCCAAGACTGAGCTTGAACTTGTGATCCTTCTGCCTCAGTCTTTTGAGTGGCTGGGATTACAGGTGTGGGACCCCATACCCAGCTTAACTCCTGACATGTATACCCAGATTGCTGAAAATTCAGGGTTGCCAAAACCTGTCTTTGTTTTGCCTACCTTTTTGCTTTTTGTTCTTCTTTCCCAGATTAAATCCTACCTCCTTTTCAAAAGCCTTCCTCCTTACTACTACTTACCTAGATGATTAACATCTCTCTCCAAATGTTGGTAAACTCACAAAGCAATTTTTTTTTTTTTTTTTTTTTTTGGTACCAGGAATTAAACCCAGGGACACTTAATACTGAGCCACATTCCCAGCCCTTTATATTTTGAAACAGAGTTTTGCTGTGTTGCTGAGACTGGCCTTGAACTTGAAATCCTTTTGCCTTAGCTTCCCCATTTGCTGGGATGCCAACTAAATATCAATTACTTTTAACTACTTGTTTAATATACTTTCTTATTTTACCATTTAATTGTTAAAGTAATGAGAATGTATATCAGATACATACTTTTTGAGACTTAGCCTCTTCCTTTTTAGGAAGTTACTTAGTTGCTTATGTGCTGGGCACCCCCCTAAACTCTCAGAAATAGTTTTCACAGATTGTTATTCATGGGCCTATTATGCTTCCCCATTCTTTTTAAACTCTCGTACATTTTGTTGTTGTTATTTTTGAGATAGGGTCTCACTAAGTTGCTGTGGCTGGCCTTGAACTTAAGGATCCCCTGCCTGCCTCAGCCACCCTGTTTGCTAGGATTACAGATATGCATCACTGCATCCAGCACATTTTTATTTTTAAGATACGGATTTCTACATTTTGGGTCTAATCTTTCACAGACTCTGAAAATTTTTAGATGGCCCTGAACTAATATAATACATTGTTTTTAAAGCTGTCATAAGGAATATTAAGTAGGAAAACTGTTTAATAGTGGTATTTTTAATACAACCGTTATGGTTTTTGCTGGTTTTAGATATGGCCGGAACACCCTTATTCAATTTGAAGACTTTGGAAATCATAATGCATTTAGGTTCTTGAGAAAATATCGAGAAAAATATTGTACCTTCAATGATGATATTCAAGGTAAAGCAAAAAGGGAACTTTAGGTTCTTGATATCTATTTTTTAATCATCTATGATGTGACCTTTTTTAATTTTAAAAATCTTTGTTTTTTTAATAGGGACAGCTTCAGTAGCTCTATCAGGTCTTCTCGCAGCCCAAAAAGTTATTAATAAACCCATCTCAGACCACAAGATTCTATTTCTTGGAGCAGGAGAGGTAAGTTTTTGTTAAGCTTTTTAGAATTTAAAAACCAACAATCCTTTAGAATTGGAAAGTAGGGCACAATGATAGTGTTCATAAATGAGCATAATGAGCTTGTAATTTTGTCGAAATATACAGGGTATAAATTCACGACTCCTGTTATAAAATAGTTAACTTAAAGTGTGTTTGTAGAAATTATCACAAAGAATTGATTTTTGTGTGATTTGAAGGGAAGAACAAATTAAATATTTCTCATAACAAATAACCTTCATTTATAAAGCAACTTGACCATTATAAAGCAACTTTCCAATTCTCATTCTCTAGTTTTCATTTTTAAAATCTGTGTTTTGTTAATAGGCTGCTCTTGGAATTGCAAATCTTATAGTTATGTCTATGGTAGAAAATGGCCTTTCAGAAGAAGAGGCACAAAAGAAAATCTGGATGTTTGACAAGTTTGGTTTATTAGTCAAGGTAAGACATTTAAAACTTGGAGAAGCAAAAGAGTATTGTTGTTATGACGTTTTTAGTTGGATTTTTAAAATATGATTTTTTAAAATCTTGTATCTCATTGAACTATCCAAATTATACCAATTGTGGATCTTTCACTGTATTATCAACAGAGATTCTTCTATCATATTATCTTTATAAAGACTCTTGCTTTGTACTTAAATTATAATTTATTTCTTGGCACCAGACTTACCCTTTCTTGCTTTTCTTTCTGGGCAAGAAATCAAATAGACATTCTGTATGATTGTATTTAACCCTGATAAAACTAAAATTTATTATGTGATGCTGGGGATGGAATCAAGAGCCTGTAATGCTAGGCAAGCACTGATATCACTGAGCTGCATCCCCAGCCTTAAAACTAAGTTTTTTAATGAGAACCCAAAACATCCCAAATTATTAGCTGTACATCTGATATTTGAGCAGAAATTCTTTATTCCTTTGGATATCATAATCCCCCATACCAATCTAAAAGAGCATGTTTCTAAAACCAATTCATGGATAATAAAGAGCTCTCCCAGGTTATTTTAGTACCCTTTGGACTGCCTGCCTTCCTGTATTATGTAAGTTGGTTGCTATTTTTATTAGCTTAAGAATGTCATAGATCTTACACTGTGTAACATCAATACAGGTAAATTGTTCCATAGTTGAAACTTTCTAGTATACAAAGTTGTATTTGGGGATTGCTATGGGGAATCAAACCCAGGAATGCTTTACCACTGAGCTCCATCCTCAACCCTTTTTATTTTTTAGTTTGAGACAGGGTCTTGCTAAGTAATTTAGGGCCTTGCTAAGTTGCTGAGGCTGACCTTGAACTTGTGATCTACCTGCCTCAGCCTCCTAGGTTCCAGGTATTACAGGTGTGCTCAGCTGTGCCTGGTGCATGCATATCAGAATGGCATAGCAGTTACTTGCCATTTACATCTATAGTACAATCCATCTCAGCGTACTTTGCTCCAATTCTCTTTTTCTTTCTCTTTAAGCTCGATTTAGTTTTCTTTCTTTCTTTTTATAAAAAATATCTTTATTTATTTATTTATGTTTATGTGGTGCTGAGAATCGAACCCAGTGCCTCACACATGTGAGGCTTGCACTCCACCACTGAGCTACAGCCCCTACCCCTCTCTTCTTCTTAATGTCTCTTCTAATTAGTATCAGCGTTCTATTAAAACAAAAAATAAAATGAACAATTAGAACATATGAATGAGTAACCTTGAGGCTTAAATTATATGTAATTTAAAATAAAATAACAGTAATTTGAAGTTTACCAGACATTGTGATAAGAGCTTATTATCTTTAGTTCTTTCAAAACTCCTGTGGTTGGTTTTTTGTTTTGTTTCTTCTGTGAAGATTTTTTAATTGAGGAAACTGAATTTTAAAAATGGTCAGAGACTTTTCCAAGGTCATTTGTTTATAAGTGATGGAGAGAATTTAAACCTAAGAAGTCTGATTATAAAGCCCATGCTCTGAATCATTAAACCATGCTATTCCCTAAGGGAAGCATAACTACTATATTTGCTAGTATATAAAGTGCAAGGCTTATAAGCCATCACAGTTTTAGAAGGTTATGGAGGGAGATTACATATTTCTACTGGTACCTAGATTACCTATTTCTACTGCTTCATTTTGTAATGTTGGTTTTTCTCAGATGTTTTGTGATTATAACAGTAGATCCAATGAACAGTGGTGGTAGTAGCAAGTGAGAATTCCTGTTCAGGTTCAGAGTATTTATTTTAGGATGTGCTGGTAGCTTAAACTCTAGGTTTTAGGCTCCTAGTCTCTTTTGGTGACCCTAAACACTGTAGTCCATTTAGAGAGTTTTTCTGTTAAACCCTCAAACTGGAGAGCTTTGGAAATCCTCGGGCCAAGAATAAGAAAACAGTGTTCTGAGAACCAGACCAATAAGGTTGTATTTCAGTCATTTAATTAACTGCTTGGCCAACTTGTGATGGCCCACTTTTTTCCCAGCCCCTTCTGGTTCTTGACTGGTTATTCTGGAGTTCTGATGAAAAACTTTTCCTATTGTGGGGAGATGGCTTCTCTTTTACTAAAATAAAGACGCAGGTTTCTCAGCTTGTTGATTTGGTGCTTGGTATGTTTTGTGTGCTTTAAATCTTAGAAATTCATTGTCATAGGCTGTCAGTGTTACTTTTTTGGCTTTATAGTATTACTAAGTTTTTATTTTATTTATTTTTTTTTACCCCTGGGAATTAGAAAGATGTTTTTTTGTTTAGCCATCTTGAACCAGAATTCACTGTTCCTCTTGTTTTTGTACTCTTTGTAGTAAAAGCCCCTGATGTCTTTCTGCAATTCTGAAGTCTTAAAACTCTGAAATCTCAGAGCTTTTTTCTGAATTCATTTTGGTGACAGATTTGATTGATCTGAATTTATCTGGTAGCAAAACCTGACCTGAACTTAGGAGAGGCTATTTATAGACTTAAACTTTCTGCTTCACAAAAAGGGGAGCAAATATGGGGGAATATAGAGATATGTAGTTCAATTTTAGATTGCTTGCCTCAAATGTACAAGGTCTTGTGTTTGATCTCCAGCACTGCAAAAAATAAAGAAAGAAATACACCTTTTTACTTGATGTGACTGGTTAAGTTTGTTCTAGTGTAGAGTGCCCATTTGTCAGGGAATATTCATAATACTTGTTAGAATGCCAAATTGCATTCCTAAATATGAGAAATTCTTAATTCCCAAACTCAGCTTGCTCAGATAAAGGGTTGTAAGGCTTTTGTGCCATATTCAATTTTGGTATACTTCATAGAATAAATGAGTTTTTGAAAGAGACTAGAAAGTTCCTGAGCGTAATGGAATTTGATATATATTTGGACACTGTGAAGTTGGAAATGAAATAAATGAGTTAAGAAGAAAAATAAATGAAAAGACATTTCTATTGTAGAAATAATATGTATGTAACTCATAAAATGTTGTCTTCTCAGTTAATCTTCATTATGCACTCACTAAAAACTACTGTATTTTATCAAAAAATTTAGGGGCGGAGTGCTAAAATAGATAGTAATCAGGAACCATTTGCTCACCCAGCTCCAGAAAGCACACCTGATACTTTTGAAGATGCAGTAAATATAATTAAGCCTTCAACTATAATTGGTAAGTAAAGTTGTTGATAAATCATTCTATTACTTAACTGTTACCAGTTGTAACTACTCTGTGAGATTACTAAGAATGAATTGACATTTCTGCCTAGCTTTTTTTTTTTTTGAAGATTAATATAGTCTTCTTTTTTTATTATTATCATTTATTTTTTTTATTGTTGGTCGTTCAAAACCTTACACAGTTCTTAATACATCATATTTCACAGTTTGATTCAAGCGGGTTATGAACTCCCAACTTTACCCCATATACAGATTGCTGTATCACATCAGTTACCCTTCCATTGATTGACATATTGCCTTTCTAGTGTCTGATGTATT